AATACCAAAGAAAGAAAATACAACAGAATAAAAGACATGGCTTGAAATAGTAAATCCAGAGAGAGAGGATTATACAGGAAGATAAAGGAAGAAAATGTTTTCTGCTCCCCTTTCCTTTCCTGCTTTAAACCCAAATTAAATCCATTATGTAGATAGAAATAATATTGTTGTTAAGACTAATAGCATGGGAATTGTAAATAAACAGTGAGAAGCTACAATTTCCAAGGACAGTGCAGGCACTTCCCTTGTCCATGCCGTGGGTGTAAACAGCCTGGCTGGCCACCGCCTCCACCATCTCCATCTTCATTCATCTTGTGATGTCACTTCAGGCCTACCCCTTGCATTTCTCATACAAAACCCCCAAACACACACAGAACACAGAGCAGGGAGGCTGACTTCAGCTGACTTAACAGTCATCTTGAAAACCCGTAAAATACAGATTCCTGGGCCCTCCCACTCTAAGATCACAGGGTGGGGCCAAGGCATCCACATTTTAAACAGATTTTCCTGAGGATTCTAAAGTAGACATGCACCATACTCTGAAGCTGAGAAATACTGTCATAAGGGTATTTTGGAACATAGAGTATTTTTATATTAAGTGCTATAATTTGCTTTAAGGCATGGTCCAAGTCCATCGCGATGATTTTCACAGTCCCTGCTGCTAAGTATTTTTTTTTTTTATTAAATGTCAAGAAAATTTTCTCTTGCGTTCCTAATTGCAGTTACCACATCCTCACAGAAATAGTGCCTATGTAACCTATTTCATTAGGCACTTATTTCTGTGACTGAGGCAGTTAAGTACCTGAAATATATATTATGCAACTGTGCCCAAGTCCTAGCCTCATTAAAATGATACTGAAGTCTTAGGGTCTTGGGGTTTTTTTTCTTCACAGCAAGTTGGCAGTCATTCAATGATGCTGTAATTCGGTATTGCAGCTCACTTTACTTTAAGTAGTTCATCTCAATTCTGTTCATTATGTTCAAAGGCTTACTCTATCCAGATGCCAAGTTTCCTCCACTGGACAAAAGCATTGCAGAAGTATTTCTGCTTGGCAAGGCCTGGCAAATTTTTGGAGGCGTTGTCATGCTGTGGCAGAGCACTAGTCAGGTTGTAATTTGCCTTAATTGTTGTTCCCACAAACAGCAACAGTGATTCCCTCTAGGTCATGGGCACTCAAAGGATTTCTTCACAGCCACTGTAAAGACCAAAACACTTCTTGCAAATGCCTTACTCAGGATTGCACTGCAAAGAATCTTGGATTCTGAACATTTAGTGTATTGACCAGGAACATCGTTTTTAATGGGTTAAGTCACAAAGTTGCCTGTGTATCTGTGTGTGCAGATTAGAAACATGGAAATAACTCAGAGAAATCACTGGTCTCCCATAAAACAACCAGTGTTCTATATGTATAATTTGTTCCACCTGCCATGTTTACAAGGCACCCCAAGGAGAACTAGCTTAAAACCCAGCAATCCATCTGCCTCCCCGTTCTGAGGGGCAATTATGGCCTCAACTAAGCCAAGAGGAATGCCCAGCATGCTGCTAACCATGTCAGATGACTGATGTATGTGACTGGCTTACGTACCCAGGTCATCAGCTTTGCTAATAGTGGCTGGAGTCCTGGTACGATCACAAACACAATTAACTAACCAAAAGAAAAGGGAGGAGGGATGGACAGAGACCTAGAGGCAGTGAGCCACACCCAGGACACAAATCATAAATATGGGTTTTAACATTTCTCATGGGAATGTTAAAACTAGAAACATGGGCAAGGGGTTTGGGGGGGAAAAGATAGGGCAACTTTATGCCAAAACATTAGTTTAAAAAAACTGATTAAAAGATAAAACATGAAAGCAGGTGTTTTTTTGCTATTAACTGTACTTCCTTATGCTTATGTATCCTTTTTTTAAGAAAGCGTTAGTTAATATTTACTAAAAATATACATTTTATTGCTATGCACACAGAATAGGGCCTGGCCTCCAATATGTACAATATCAACTTAACTGTACCCAACTAAGGTCTCAGTGACCAAGATGAATATCAACTGTAAGGAACAGACTTTTAACAGGAGAATGATGTTGGAATACATTGCAAAACACACACACACACACACACTCACACACACACACGCATATCTTCAAAGAAATTCTGCTTATAAGAAGCTATTAGAAGAAGAACTCATTGGGGATACACCCCAGATGAATTGCAAAAGGTCACGCACAACTCCTTCCTGAAATGATAGATGCAACATACAAATTAGCATATAGAATATCAAGTCATTAAATGTGCCTTGTCAAGGCTCCCATGGGAAGAAAGGGGGAAGAAAGGCAGGGGCATGTGGGAAAGAACAGAGAAAAGTAAAACTGGACAGGTCACTTTGAAAACAGCTTCCAGTTTTTCAATTTCACAGATCAGTAAAATTAAAAGAAAAATTTGAGGGTAAAGAACAAATCCATTATCCTGATTTTTTTCTTATAATACGAAGCCAGGCTCTCAAAATAAAGGATAATCCTTTATATTAAGTAACTAAACTTTGTGTGAACTCACATTAGCCTTCGTTTAATAACTGGCTGTCTTAGAATATGTGATGCTCCTCGAAAGTAATAAAAAACCTTTGATTCAGATTTGGGGAGAGTCTCTAGTTTGCAGTTCTTAAAATGTCATTTTCAAATTAAATGGCACCTTCCTCTATCATTTCATGTCCGGATTGTAAGAATCCCCCTAACTCTGCATGTCACATCAGTGAATGTGGTGATTTACAGAGGTAATGGACGCCTCTAAATAATTTGTTTCATTCTAGCAGAGGATGGCTTTTGCAATGTTCGCATGGACCCTTGTCTCTGACTTAACTGCCATGATTAAGCAACCAACACATATTCTGGTCTTAGTGTTCAAGTGGCTGGATTAAAACCAGCTATTTCCCCCTGCTGGTTGGACTGTTTTACATTTTCTACCGCTCTGCCTGCAGCTTTAATGCTCCCCACAGCACCAACCCATTTATTTCCCACCCACCCACTGACCTACAGCACCATTAACACGCCCCCAAAGGCCTTGCTCTGCCCATTTTAGTCAGCGCAGCACTCAGGGTCCTCGTGGGGTTCAGCAGGGCTCTGCAGGAAGGCAAGCGAGGGAGGGAAAGGCACCAGCCCAAACCCTGGGGAGTCGCCAGCACAGGAGATGGGGCCCAGGAACGAAGGCGATCCCATCAGGGGACAGGATGCAAGGCTCAGGACGGAAAGGCAGGTGTACAGACACCCATCATTAGATGCTCTGCCACTCAATTCTCAGCTAGTTAATGGCAGAAGGATCAATACCTGCTTTCGATTTTCATGTACAGCATTATGGCCTTAGTGGGAGACGGGTCTCCTGGGAAGGGGCGCTGATCCGGGGAATGGGTCTTGGAGAGAGTGATTCATGACCCAAAGTAATAATTTTATTGATTTGTCAAATATATTTTCCAAAATATATTTGGAGATTTCCTTTTGTGTTGACCAACTTTTTCTTTTTTTCCGGTAACACTACTCACCCTGAAGTCAGTTACAGAGAAAATGATTATGTGGAGAGAGTGTCGATAATAAACGTGGAACTGAGCCATGTAAACAAAGCTGTGTGAGTTTGAAATGACATCCCCGGGCCCATCCACCCTCAGCCAGGGCGATTCCTGAGCTCCCAGTGGAGTGAAAGTGAGCAGCAACGCATTCTGCAAACGCGGCTCCAGTTTCCAAGGGTCTCGACTGCCCCAGCCTGTCAGTTTCCTTCCTTATCAAGCAAACCATCGGTGGGTTTCCATTTTAAACTAGATTTATGTCATTCCAACAGCAATAAATGTTAAGATGCAACACTTTGCTAGAACTTTTTTCAGAATCAAGCAGATATTCCAAGGCTTTACAGAGAAAAGATATAAAGCAGGCAGCACAGCATTTCTAACATACAAGTGATGAAAGTAATTCTTCTGTGAAAGTATATACTGAATCCAAAGTCGCATTTTAAAAATCCCTGAAAAATGTAGTTTACCAATAGTAAGTATAATGAAATATTATATCCTGTTCAATTAGGGCATTAATCACAGCATCTTGATCCACATTTCCCTTCTTAATGAGTTAATCTTCAAATTACATTTTCCCTGAATCAATTCTAAAAATTATCCACTACGAAACATTCTTCATTAATCATAACACAGTCACTCATTTAATTTTTACCCAAATTCCTAATATTTCTCAAAGAATTCAAGTCCTTCTAAGTGATGTGCTTCAGTGAGTACGTATAACAGGCTCTGTCAAATGATAATGATGGCACCTTCCACTGCTCTGAAGAGATTCGTATTTTTACTCAATATGCTGAGAACTTTAAGGAAACTTCCTTAACCTTGTACCAAAACTGACATCCCTAGATTGTCATATTAAGAACTATCATTTGTTAAGCTCCCGTATAAGCCAGGCACTGAGCTAGGAATATGCTTAGGTGTGTGGTCTCATTCACCTCACAGAACTCTACAAGGCAAGTACTATCCTCCCATTCTATGGATGTAACAACTGAGGCTTAAGGAGGGTAAGCAACTTTCCTAACGTCACACAGCCTGTACATGGTGAAAAAGCCAGGGGTTCCCGCTCAGGCCTGGAAGTTTACAAAGCCTGTGCTCTTCTTCTCTGTCAAAACTCCAAGGCCAGTCCTAGGACATAAACCTCCTTGATTCTGAGTGTTATGAGTTGCTTCATCTTTGGGGATTCCATAAATAGCAGTCCACAGGCTAATAAAGGTTGTTAGTATGAAACGCAAGATAATGTGCCATAGAAACAAGAAGTTAAAATGTGTACGTTGCAAATTATAATGAAATTCCATTGGGTTGAACATATGAAACTGCTGTATTTGTAGGTCAAACAGCCAAAAATGTGTAACCACAGACCGTTCATTCTAATAACAGAAATCCAGTTCCAGGCTCTCGGGGGCCCATCTGGGTCCCTTCACAGTGGGCCTGCAGTGCACACATTTCATACTGTACCTGAACAGAAGCTGTTGCTGCTAATGGTCCTCGCTGAGCGCCCAGAGCTGCTGTGGTTGAACTCTCTGCTCTCTTCCTCAGAGAAGGGGGACTCCGAGGCTGGGGACACTTTGTGCTGTTGCTGGGGCAGATGGGGCCGAAGGATCAAACGGGGAATTCGGCTTCGGGACAGCTCCTTCTCATGATGAACTCTCTGCTCCTTCTTAAAATTGGACAGCAAAAAGAAAAAAGGAAACTTGTTTCCCTGTCTGAACTCCAGTCTGTTCCTTCTGGGCTCAGTTTCTAAGAAGTCACATTTCTGAATACGGAATCTTCACAGAGTAGCCCTTTTGTCAGTTGCTGAAATGAATTCCAAAACTCTTCCACTGAGCTAACTCTCCTGATCCGCTGAGGAGCACACACTCCAGCAAGGATGCTGCACACAGATGCACACACACACACACACACACACACACACGGGCCCACACGCTTCCACCACTCCCAGGAAGGCCATTCTACACTCCCATGCCATTCTGTCTCACCTTCCCACTCTGGCTTTTTCAGTCCTATTCAAGCTTTCAGCTGTCTCAAAGGCTTTTTCTTACTCTCAGCACACTCCTTGATTTCCTCTAGACTTCCATTTTGCTGTCCCTGACTTAGCGGTGACAATTTGACTTCTGTTTTCCTATCTCCTCACATAGTCCCCTATACCTGGAAGGATTCTCTCCCGATAGATCATGCAGCCTTATCTTTCAAATCCCTCCTCTTCCGGCCAGGATCTTAATTATTCATTAATATCCTGGTACACAAGGCTACTTGCCAACAGAAAAGTAAACAAAAATCCAATACCCGGTAAGGTGGCTCCACCTATTACACCATGTTTAGCTTTTGTTTTCATTACAGATACCATTCGGAGAGGTTTTTTTCTGTTTCTTCTTTAAAACACAGCATTAAATACAGAGGGCCATGCCTTGGTTTAAAGAAGAAATGCATAAAAGGTAATATCTCGGCAACGCTATTCCAATTTTAAAGGGCTTTCCCAACCATCATCTCATTTGATACTTATAACTCAGGCCGCAGAGAGAACAGTAATCTATGTCCCTATTTACAGATGAGAAAACCGAGGCTAACGGAGGTGGGTAAAGATGCTTAGTCGGCACAGCACATCATTCAGAAGCAGACCGGCCTGAAGTCCAGCGCCTTTTGAAGTCACCCCCACCCTGCCTTATTAAAATGGATTCCTAGGAGGAGCTCTTTGCAAAAGACCCACTGCTCCCTCCAACCTCTGCTACTGAAAACAGGCTTTGGATTAGGTAACAAACACTGTTTCGAAACATGACCTCTCGCTCCTTTCCACGCTGCTTACCAAGAAGGGTCGCTGCCAAAGTCAGCCCCCGGGAGGCCCGCACCGGGCGCGCCCCGCAGGGAAAGCCC